GGGGCGAGCGGGGGCGGCGGGGGGGACACGGGCCCTGCCGCTGCGCTGACACCCAAAAAGTCTTTTTATGGGGTGGGGGCGGGGGGATGAAACCGAAGAGAAGCAGGAGTCGGGGGGCGGCACGGTCCTTCCTTCGCCGGCGCGGCCGGGGGTCCTAGAAGAGAGCGGGCGGTGAGCAGGTGGGGTCTGGGGAGGGGGGCACGGGCACCCCCTGCCAGCCTGTGCCACGGTGGGGACAGTAGGCAGCGCCTGTCCCGTCCCCAAAGGGTGCTCCGTGACCACCCCATTTGGGGGGCCACCACCAGGACCACCACCCACCTGGGCAGCGCCGGCCCTCAGAAGAGCCCGCAGTCCTTCAGGTTGTTTTTGATGATGACGTCGGTGACGGCATCAAAGACAAACTGCACGTTCTTGGTGTCGGTGGCGCAGGTGAAGTGGGTGTAGATCTCCTTGGTGTCCTTCCGCTTGTTCAGGTCCTCGAACTTGCTCTGGATGTAGCCGGCCGCCTCGTCGTACTTGTTGGCCCCTAGGGAGGAGGAGACACTGGGCTGCCCCACGGTCGCCCAGGGACACCGGCACCCCCCTGCCCCCGGCACCCGCCGCAGCGACCGCCCCAATGCCAGATTGATGCTCCCCAGGCACAGTGAGCCTCAGCTAACCCCCCCCAGGGCTACTGCCCCTTGTCCCCCCCCCATCCTCCCCCATCCCCTGGGGCACACCAAACACCACCGCACCGCACCTGCTGCCCCAACGCACCGCTCCCTGGGCACAGGAGAGCCAGCATCTCCTTCCCCAGCATCTCCTGCTACAGTGTCCGGGCGAGGCACTGCCCGCTCCTCCTGCCAGGGGGACCAGGGAGGGCACCGAGGGACCCCGCAGTACCTGTGTACTCAGGGAAGCAAATGGTCAGGGGGCTGTGCACGATCTTCTCCTCAAAGAGGTCCTTCTTGTTGAGGAAGAGGATGATGGACGTGTCCGTGAACCACTTGTTGTTGCAGATGCTGTCAAACAGCTTCATGCTCTCGTGCATCCGGTTCTGGCAGGGGAGACAGCAGCCTGAGCCGGGCAGGGACCCCCAGGCAGCGCCCGCCCCACTGCTGCCCAACCTGCTGTCCCCCCCACTGCTCCTGCCTGCCCAGGCAGGGGATGCCGAGGGCCTTGCAAGGCTTGGGCCACACTGGCCAGGGCACTGGTGGCCACCAGAGGAGGGGGTGCTCCCCTGGCCCCCCAAGGAGAGGACGGCTCATGGCACCGGCTCCATCCCCCCCCAACTCACCATCTCCTCATCTTCAGCCAGCACCAGGTCGTAGGCACTCAGGGCCACGCAGAAAATGATGGCCGTCACGCCCTCGAAGCAGTGGATCCACTTCTTCCGCTCCGAGCGCTGGCCGCCCACGTCGAACATCCTGGGCAGGGAGACAGCATGGTGGTGGACAGCAGCTCCTGGCCCCACCGCCCTCGCCCCGCTCCCTGCCTCAGTTTCCCCGGCTGCCCAGAGAAGGAGCTGCACCAGGAAAAGGCGCTGGGATGGGAAGAGCGCAGCGCCTCTGCCCCAGGGGTTTTGCTGGTGCCATGGATCTGCCCCGGCACCCGCTACCTATCACAGGTGGTGTCTGGGCTTATTTCCCAGCTGGAGAAAACCCCCACCATAAGCCAGGGCAGGATCAGGCCGCCTTTCCCAGATGGGAACGCTCCCTGGAGCCAGGCTCCAGGAGATGCTCTCGGAGACCCGCTCTGGAGCGGGCACTGCAGGGTTTTGCTGGAGACCTTGGACCAAGGGGAGCTGCGGTGCCTGGCCAAGCAGCTGGGGGCTCAGCGGGATCGCGGGCAGCGCAAGGGCTCAGGGGATGATCCTGGTGCACCGCGCGCCCTCTCCTGCTGCAGGCAGCAGGGGATGCCCTGCCTCCACGGAGAAGAGCCCGGCAGCAGTGCCATGTCCACCACCAACCACCCGGCTGGCGGGGAGGCTTCCTCACTGCTGTGCCCCCCCGCCTTGGACCATCCTCTCTGCCCTGCTGCCACCTCCAAAGCACTGCCCTGGCGATGTGCAACCAAGCACCGCCATCCCACCGGGGTGGCACAGAGGTCCCTGCGAGCCCCCCGCCCTCAGGGTGGACCCCAGCAGATCTTTCTGCCGGCAGCTCCATTGCCAAGTGACTAAATCCCCCGGGATGTGCACGATGCCAGCTTTCTGCCTCAGAAACTGGAGCCCTGACTATTTCCCATGGGTTTTCAGTGGAACGCAACCCTGGGCTGCCAGGAGGCAGCAGCGCCGGTTCCCGACTCTGAGACCCCCGGCTCCTGCTCAGCGTCCTTCCTGCAGCGGAAGCTGCGTCACGGCAGCCGGAGACGCCTTCCCCCTTCCCCTCCTCACCAGAGGCTGGATCCGCCCCCAGGCCAAGCCCTGCGAGGCATTTTTGAGGCTGCTCCAGCTATTTTGGCGGTTTCCGCTCTCTCTGAGGCAGCAGCTCCCGCCATGAGCAAAGCCGGGGGGGGGCTTGGCGTGTGCAGCGTGCAAGCAGGATCTGGCACGGCGTGGGGAGGAAGGGTTGTTTTTTTTTTGCCTTGGAAAAGGCAAAAAGGAAAGGGTCGGACGTACTTGAAGTGCAGGTCCTTGAAGGTGAAGTGGGTCTCTACGATGCCAGTGGTCTTCACCCTGGTGCGCAGCACGTCCTGCTGGGTGGGGATGTAGTCGGCACGGGCTATCCTCTCCAGGTCATTCAGGTAGCTGGGGAGGGAGCAGAAAGGTGCTGTGGAAGCTGGACCGTGGAGCACGACCCACCCAAATCCCATGGGGCATCCCCACACTGTCCCAGAGTCCCCTGCCCACACCCCACATCATCCAT